CTACACTTGGTGGGCCAACGGGAGTCGATTGTGCAAAGATATTTCAATAGTGACACCATGGAGAGATGTAATCAAAAGTTATGTACATTTAAAAACACATCAACTGATACAATTCACATACACCTGTTTTCTTCAAAACAATGATTTACTCAACTTGTAACTGGAAGATTTTGTTGATGTGAACTTCGCGAATTATTTTAATAACAAGTGTAGATTGTTAAGCTAGGCTTGTTGCATACAAATAAATGAACATGTTTACAAATAGATAAAGGCTGGTTTAAACAAACTTTTGTCTTTAAAATCTCAAATCTTCCAACATTTCAATGATTTCATAATCTAGTTTTGAGGATAGTTTTAACAATGTCGGTGATTCAATAATTTATGAGCACAAGTCGCAATTTTCAGACATTTTCCAAAATGTGTGTGCTGCCTAAAAAAATAATGAAACGCACATTTAATGCTAATAGCATGAATAAAAATTGCTGTGATTTTGCTCGGTGAACAACTGAGAACAAGTGACTTGTGACTTGGACTCGAGGCTTGCGACTCGAGACACGACTCGGACTCAAGGCTTGTGACTCGTGACTCGGACTCGAGGCTTGTGACTCGAGACTCGGACTCGAGGCTTGTGACTCGAGACGCGAACGTGGACTCCAGGCTTGTGACTCGTGACTGGGACTCGAGGCTTGTGACTCCAGACTCGAGACTCGGACTCGAGGCTTGTGACTCGAGACTCGGACTCGAGGCTTGTGACTTGAGACTCGGACTCGGGGCTTGTGACTTGAGACACAGACTCGGACTAAAGGCTTGTGACTCGTGACTCGGACTCGAAGCTTGTGACTCGGACTCGAAGCTTGTGACTCGAGACTCGGACTCGGGGCTTGTGACTCGAGACACGGACTCGGACTCGAGGCTCGTGACTCGGACTTGAAGCTTGTGACTCCAGACTCGGACTCAAGGATTGTGACTCGAGACACGGACTCTGACTCGAGGCTTGTGACTCGAGACTCGATCGGACTTGGACTCGACGTTGATGACTCGACTACAATACTGCCCGCTGCCCAGAGGGCTAGTCAACTGTCCTCTTTGTACCTATCTGACTGACTGACTGTCACTTGAGACTTAGCCCGGTTGTAGCTGTGTGAAGGAGCGAGGCAATGCTATTGTATTATACGCCAATGAATGACCAATGAAGCCATTATATGAAGAGGATTTTAGCGTTTAACCAGTTCACGCCAGGATTATTTGGACAAGAACGGAACGAGGCGCAGGAATACTTTTCACTCGACCGCGAATTATTTTAATAACAAGTGTAGATTGTTAAGCTAGGCTTGTTGCATACAAATAAATGAACATGTTTACAAATAGATAAAGGCTGGTTTAAACAAACTTTTGTCTTTAAAATCTCAAATCTTCCAACATTTCAATGATTTCATAATCTAGTTTTGAGGATAGTTTTAACAATGTCGGTGATTCAATAATTTATGAGCACAAGTCGCAATTTTCAGACATTTTCCAAAATGTGTGTGCTGCCTAAAAAAATAATGAAACGCACATTTAATGCTAATAGCATGAATAAAAATTGCTGTGATTTTGCTCGGTGAACAACTGAGAACAAGTGACTTGTGACTTGGACTCGAGGCTTGCGACTCGAGACACGACTCGGACTCAAGGCTTGTGACTCGTGACTCGGACTCGAGGCTTGTGACTCGAGACTCGGACTCGAGGCTTGTGACTCGAGACGCGAACGTGGACTCCAGGCTTGTGACTCGTGACTGGGACTCGAGGCTTGTGACTCCAGACTCGAGACTCGGACTCGAGGCTTGTGACTCGAGACTCGGACTCGAGGCTTGTGACTTGAGACTCGGACTCGGGGCTTGTGACTTGAGACACAGACTCGGACTAAAGGCTTGTGACTCGTGACTCGGACTCGAAGCTTGTGACTCGGACTCGAAGCTTGTGACTCGAGACTCGGACTCGGGGCTTGTGACTCGAGACACGGACTCGGACTCGAGGCTCGTGACTCGGACTTGAAGCTTGTGACTCCAGACTCGGACTCAAGGATTGTGACTCGAGACACGGACTCTGACTCGAGGCTTGTGACTCGAGACTCGATCGGACTTGGACTCGACGTTGATGACTCGACTACAATACTGCCCGCTGCCCAGAGGGCTAGTCAACTGTCCTCTTTGTACCTATCTGACTGACTGACTGTCACTTGAGACTTAGCCCGGTTGTAGCTGTGTGAAGGAGCGAGGCAATGCTATTGTATTATACGCCAATGAATGACCAATGAAGCCATTATATGAAGAGGATTTTAGCGTTTAACCAGTTCACGCCAGGATTATTTGGACAAGAACGGAACGAGGCGCAGGAATACTTTTCACTCGACCTCAAGCCAGGCGAGTTGAAGCCATCACCCTCAGGCAGCACACTCATATATCCAGCCTTGCTCGCTGCGAGCGGGTCGCCGACAGATATATTTCCGGCCTCACTCCCCACGTGTTTATCTGTCATCCGTTCCGAATACCGCAAAACTTTTGCGAGTAAACACAGCATCCGGCGCGAACTGGTTAAAGAGGCAGATAACTAGTCCAGGTCCGCGACCGGATTTTGACATATTCCTCTTCAATATGCAACCGGCCCGTGACAAGTGTGGATGAATCAAATCCAGTCTTGGTAATATTGGCAGCGCTACCCAGGAAATTCCGAGCATACCTCACGCACTCTGTATTCAAGCTTATGCGTGTGCGTGAGGTATACTCAGAATTCTACGGGAAGCGCTGCCAATATTGCCAAGACATGATTTGATTCATCTTGGTGATAGAGACTTCCAAGTGTGTCATGGGACTGGCTGCAAAATAGGGGAATAAAAATACAAAACAAGTCTCGAACCAAGTCTAGTCTACAACTAGATAATGAAGAGGCTTATAGCATTTACGTTTATAATAGATAACAGAAATTTGGCATTTGAAACCAGCCTTAATTCTTTAACACATGCAGAAATATTTTACAATCTTAAAATAATAAAAAAACAAAAACACAAATATAATCCACACACTACAGCACTTTATATTTACAAACACATCATGATGAGCTACTTTATACATGCTTTTGATAATGATTTCAAGAAAAAAAAATCTTTTTGATCTCTGGACGCGGCATGCATTCCTTGCACTGATGACAGGGACTTTCAGAAAATGTTTTCAGGTTTTGGCAAAATAAAACTTCTTGTCGAATATGTCCCGTATTTGCACTTACAGTGCAATGCCAAGGCCGGCACAGGTACATGTACTTCATTCGACTGTGAAGCAAATTTGGCGTCAATGAAAAAACATAACATGGCTGTGAAGTTCGCCGAGTCTAAATATGTTCAACTTGTGCAAACTTCTTGTGTGAAAACTTTCCACGACATTACAAACTTGCATTCTCGTTCGCTTTCACGCAGAGTACGAACTGGCCATCATAACGCGCTTTAACAGGATTCCGCACAGGAGATAATTAGCATATGTAATGGAACCTTTTACACTGTATGCATATACAGTCGAGTCTCGTTAATACAAACTCGTTCGGACCTAGCCAAATTGTTTGTTATATCAGAATTTTGTATTAAGAGGAACATCAGTCCCATTCATTGCGCACATCAATGCACAGTCGGGACCAAGGCCTAATGTTTGTTATAACCTGAATTTTGTATTAACAGAGTTTGTACTAATGAGATTCGACTGTATACATACCGCGAGGTAGAGCGATAAATCGGTGTGGCTAGAAACCGGAAAGATTGTCCAAAATGTTGCGTGATCAATCTTCGTTCCGACCAAGATGTAAGGCTTGGTGTTCACAATTCAATCGAATGTTAACTAAAATTCATGTACAATTCATTGGCAAGTCAGTCACTAGTCACTGGCCGAATGTAACCAATCATAATCACAAGTTTATTGTCACCCACAGGTCACTAGTGGCACAGACAGGAGACGTCTTTGTAGCAGGGCAAATATACATGTAGCTTGGCACTCGATTTGGGATGACTTGTGATTAAACCAGAGTCCATCATTTGCAGCCATCCGAAAAGTAACTGGCGTACTTGGTTGAAAGATAGTAAGGGGACTAAACTCCCTGTGAAATTATTCTTTCTGGCAAGCTGTCATTTTGAAGAAATCAACAAAAGAAGGCCTTTCCAAGAAGCACCGTAGGAAATTCAAATTAGTAGTTCGTTTTGTTATTAGGCGAAGCGCGCAAGCATTGGCACGATGCACACGCGCGTGCGGTTGCTATAATTCGTCGGTTCAATGAGAACGTGTCTTGGACGCTGAATTCAGGCCTAATTCAAAACATGATTCAGCAACTTTTGATTTGAATGGAGATCCTAGAATGTTGTTTTTCTCGAAATATACAGCTGAAGCTGAGCTGAAACTTCATCAGGTTAGTTGTTCTCCACCCTTCTTTAGATCTTGAGCACTTTTGTTGATTCAAACGAACAAAATGCGCCAATTACAAATGATGGACTATACCTTTAAGATTGACTTGTGATGACTTGGGACGACAGGTGGTTCCTTAAGATGACTTGTGATGACTTGTGATTGATTTAAACTTTGGTTCAGCCCCGAGTATTTCTTGACACTTGTAGCAGATGGCAATGCAGTCTGATAAGCCATTTGCGAGTGAACTTTATACCCTTTGGGATTTAAATTTGAAAAACATCTGGTACACTGACTTGCTCAGAATGCTTGGCACATTTTAACTTTGAATTCTCCAGACCAAAGACACTGTTGCTAATCACATGATTCGAAACAAGTTCTTGCATATACGTAAGAGATGCCCAGCACCAATACATTGTTCACAGTGGGTGAGAATGGCACAAAGACACCAGACCATGCCGGAGCTGGGGGTTGCTAGCGTAAGGCTTGCCCCGAATCACGTGATATAGTAACAGTCTCTTGGGTCGGGAGAATGCAAAGTTAAAACGTGCAAAGCATTGGATGAAGACAGCGTCCCAGATTTTATTCAAATTTAACTCGCAAATGGCTTATTGAGAGATTTGTGATGACTTGTGATGTCTTGTGAATGCCTTGTGATAGACTTGTGACTAACTTATGACGACTTGCGACTCTGATTCAGACCCTGAGTGTTTCCAGACACCTGTTGTAGCAGATGGAAATCCCGTATGGTAGAGAGACTCTTGATAACTTGTGATTGACTTGTGGTGTCTTGTGATTGACTTGTGACAGACTTGCGACTAACTTATGATGACTTGTGATCAGTTGCAACTCTGCTTCAGACCCTGACTGTTTTCACACAATTGTTGTAGCAGTCAGACTTGTGATGACTTGTGATTGACTTGTGGTGTCCTGTTATTGACTTGTGACAGACTTGCGACTAACTGATGATGACTTGTGATCAATTGCAACTCTGCTTCAGACCCTGACTGCTTTCACACAATTGTTGTAGCAGTCTGTTTGAATCACTTGTGACGCCTTGAAAATAACTTGTGATGACTTGCGAATGACTTGTGACAGACTTGCGACTAACTTATGATGACTTGTGATTGATTGTGACTCTGGTTCAGACCCTGAGTATTTCCAGACAGTTGTTGTAGCAGATAGCAATCCAGTCTTGTTAAATGACTTGTGATGTCTTGTGACTGACTTGCGACTAACTTATGATGACTTGTGATTGATTGGGACTCTGGTTCAGACCCTGAGTATTTCCAGACAGTTGTTGTAGCAGATGGCAATCCAGTCCGGCTGAATGACTTGTGATTGACTTGTGATGTGTTGTGATGACTTGTGATTGACTTGCGACTAACTTATGATGACTTGTGATTGATTGGGACTCTGGTTCAGACCCTGAGGATTTCCAGACAGTTGTTGTAGCAGATGGCAATCCAGTCCGGCTGAATGACTTGTGATTGACTTGTGATGTGTTGTGATGACTTGTGATTGACTTGCGACTAACTTATGATGACTTGTGATTGATTGTGACTCTGGTTCAGACCCTGAGTATTTCCAGACAGTTGTTGTAGCAGATGGCAATCCAGTCCGGCTGAATGACTTGTGATTGACTTGTGATGTGTTGTGATGACTTGTGATTGACTTGCGACTAGCTTATGATGACTTGTGATTGATTGGGACTCTGGTTCAGACCCTGAGTATTTCCAGACAGTTGTTGTAGCAGATGGCAATCCAGTCCGGCTGAGTGGAAGCCCATTGGATGTGGTTGATCTCTCCGTCGGCGGTGTATGCTAAGATGGGGTCTTCGATGGCTCGCGGCATTTGCTGGATGTCCCAGATCAGGGCTTGGTGATCATCCGCTGTAAAAAAACAGACAAAAGTGTTATATATTTGAAACAAAAGAAGAAAAAGGATATCAAGACTAGGACCCTGAAGTTTGCTTGACAGCATACATTGTAGCAGTTTTAGGCATTTTAGGGCATGATTTAGCTCAGTGACACATACAGTCTAGTCTGAGTGTCACCCTTTATCCACGGAGTAAGTCTCCTGTATAACGTCTGATATGTCTAGACATGCAGATATATGCAAGCCGCGCGCAAGCCAATTGGAGTTGACTTCACTAAATCGTGACGTCATTTCATTCCCAAATCGGGACTTAAGGTTTGATTGGTCAATTCCAATGCAGTGTTTTGTAATACAACAACAGCCGGGCCCGTATCCCGTAACATAATACAGAGCGCGTGACCACAGGTTTTGTTGCTGTGTCTCGGTTTTTTTTATCCATGTCTATGATGCGACAATGGAGAATAACCGAAGATCCTATACAGAAGCGCCCGCTGATTGATTAAAATCTAGAGGTCAAGATGGGGTTGTCTTGCATAATTAATCAGTGAATCTGCTCAAATATTATAGACTATGGCTCTGCCATGGGGGGGGGGGGGAGGGGGGTGTCAACCACCTTGGACTTCTAGTGATGCCAGTTTGGGAAGTCGCGTCTTACCTGCAGTGCAGATATGGCAAGATGAGTGTGGAGCCCAGGCTATGCCATTCACACAGGCTCTGTGGTTGTTGAGTCTAGCGACTGGTGTGCAGGGTACCCTCACATCCAGAATAATCACCTGTGGAAACGTATGAAAGCACCATTGTTTAGAAACTACAGGCCGGCTCATACTCAGCGCCATTGTCAAGTTGTTAGGATGTTTGACTCATGTACAAAGTTGCGTGGGTTCGAACCCTGCCAGGAACATGGTGTTTGTGCCCTTGGGCAAGTAAGGCTGAAACGATACGCCTGTGTCACGATACGATACATATCACGATACATATCAAACGATACGATATATATCGCGATATATCTTGGTATAAAAAAATAAATAAAATCATAACAGATGAACTTAATCAGGGTCTAAGTCCTCTTTAATCTGTCTCTACTCGTTTCTGATAATACACAAATACAGTAAGGTACTAGGTACATGAAATGCATGCACCACCTGAAGAAAATGGACATGACGGTGAGTCCGCATGAACTTTTCACGTGCGTGCGCTCGGAAAGGTGAGACTTCAACTCTTCGCATTATTATTTTTACATTTCGTGCTTCTCATGCATCGCAGTTGCTTGCAATTTTGTTTCGGTGCACTGCCGCTGTTATTTATTATATTATTATTAATAATATCGATATCAAACATTCGTACTGATATATCGTATCGTGAACGCATGTATCGCGATGCACCGATATATCGATGTATCGTTTCAGCCTTATGGGCAAGACACATAACTACAATTGCCTCTCTCCTCCCAGGAGTATAAATGGGTACCTGTGAGGGTCGAGGACCGATTGAGCGCTGATATCGGCTGCCGTGTGGTCCCATGGCCTGATGAACGGGGTAATAATTGTAAAGCGCTTTGAGATTGTTGAAACGATGGAAAGCGCTATATAAGCACACTTATTACTAAGAGCAAATGCAAATTTGTGACATCACAAGACGTTTTCAAGCAGCAAATTTGCACAAGTTGAATACATTTGAAGTCTGGCGAATTTTGCAGCAACTGTTTCTTGATATCAAATTGGCTTTAGTATTTGCATTCACATGAGGTTTATTAGGCCATCAGCCTTGGTCCAAAAGTTTTGGCCACTAGTATCAAATGATGGGAATAATCGGCACAGCGATTTTTGGCAAGGTATACGTGTACACCTCCAGAGTTGGAAAATATGTGATAGCATTGCAGCGGTGGCAGCTTTTTGTGTGTTATCACCCTTTTTTCAAAATGTCTATCAAAATGCTTGTTACCACTTTAGGGGCGGTATACCTTGCGCATGCGCACTATGGTCATTTATGCCTTGATTTGATACTGACCAAACCCCAGGCTGATGGACAATATCCGGTAAGAACCGGCCTTGCACTTAACCCTAACCCTCCAGGGTATTTTGGCTAGAAACCCTGCTGAACGTGGCAACATGCAACACTTATCACAATGACAAGCCTGCCCAGTGTAGCAAGATCCATCAGGTCAAAACTCTCAAGGCCAAACTGCCTCAGAGTCTGCGGTCACCGAATGCAGCAGGATGCAACTGTGGCATTGTTTAATGGGACGAGCTCTCATTGACAGCGCATGAACAAGAGAGGGCACTTTTGAAAACCCTGTGGACAGGGCCCGGCTGCGCTAACAGGGGCCAAGTTCGGGCAAGGACCATTAGTCGACTAGTGGTTGATTTGTGACGTACCTTACGCCTGCGCACTAATAGCAACGTGCGAACGTCTCTAGTCAAACGCTGGTCAAAATGTCATCGCAAAACTTCTGGATCCTGGCTCTCTGCAAGCGTTATGAATGCGCGCGGCTATTGGTTACCAGCAAAGCAACCAACCCCAGTAGGCTGGTTCCAAATAGTCGACTAGCATAGTCAACCACCGTCGACTAGACAGAGTTCGGGCAAACATTAGTTAACCATTGGTCAACTATAGTCCTTGCGCAAACTTGGCCAGGTTTGCACGCCTATGGGCACCGTGCGCCAACAAAAGAGGGCGCATTTTTACCTCTTTTGAGAGCTCCGTGAATGGGACACACAGCGTGCGCACCCTGTGTTGTACTGGTTCGCGCGCGAAGTACGTACGACTTCCTGAATGTGCAAAAGCTATTAGCCACTGCGTCTTCGCGTGAGCGTCAGGCGTCGTCTGCGCGTGAATACCTTCGAATTCAACTTGCGATGGTCTCCAAGACTAATCCCCGCCTCCAATAACTTTGGATACATTCGAAATATGCAGTGGAAGGATCGGGAACCAGTCTAGGTCACCCCCAACTCTCCTTTTCTGGCCGTTGATGGGGTACTTGTGCACGGAGCCCATAGCGTGAAGTAAACACGACTAAATTTGTTTCTGAATGTGCGCAAAGCCATAGCGTCTTTACACGAACACCAGGCATTGTCGGCAATGCGTTCGGATGTCTTGTCCCAGTGGTCTCCCCTAACTCTCCCTTTCTTACCGTTGAGGGGGTACTTGCGTACGGCGCCCATAACATACCTCAAATGAATCCATGGCCATGGTGGACAGGTAGTTGGGATCCTGTTTATTCCAGGCGAGTCGCAGCAAGGGATGGTGTTGTGGATCCTCGTATATGATCGTTGAGTGTTCAAGATGCCTCAAATCAAACATCCGGACCGAGCCGTCCGCACCCACAGACGCAAACATGTCCCTGCCTCCTCCTGCACGACTGAATGCTATGTCATAAACCTGTGACGGGGGAAACACAGAAATAAAACCAATCCTGTTAGCTCGGTGGTTGAGTGGTAAGACATCTGCACTAGAAAGCAGGAGGTCGTGGGTTCGAGTCCCACCCAAGTGATTTGTTCCAACTTTCACACAGGAGGTAACACACTGAGTATTCAGTGTTTAAACGTCGGTGAAGGGCAAAACCTGATTTGATTTATATCGCCCCAGCGCAAAAATTCCATCTTATAATAGTTTATGCGGTACCCACTGCTATGTACATCAGATTCGAAACGGCCAACCGATCCTGTTAGCTCGGGGGTCAAGTGGAACTGCACTAGAAAGCAGGAGGTCATGGGTTCGAGTCCCACCCGAGTGATTTTTTCCAACTTTCACTCGGGAGGTAACACACCGAGTATACAGTGTTTTAACATCGGTGAAGGGCAAAACCTAATTTGAAAGAAATAAAAGTTATGTTTTTGAACCCTAATCGTCTAGCAGCTGATTTCCCGATATGTAGGGCCAATGAGTTTTCGTTTCAGAAAAGTGCAAATTCTATTTTCGAAAATCCTCAATGCTTTTCAGGCTGAAAAAATTTTGTTTCGCATTAAATACATAAAAGTGCATACACCATGTCAATGAGACGATAATGAAATAGTTGTTTGGTTGGAACGCGGGAAAATTGCCCAAAAACGATCGCTTTTTTATCAACCTCTGATCAATGAATGGTTGATGATTGAACAGAGAAAAATAAACCTGCCGATGGAACAAAAGAGACGTGCGAGATTGTACCGGGGTGTGATGATCTGTTGTGACCGACAGCTACGGTGCGCGTCGGGTCTGTCACTACAGTAATGATCTTGTAACATTTATTGCTCTGATCTTTAACGTTTTTTTTGTCCCCCAACAATCATGATCTAAGCAACGCTCATTTCTTATATGACTCGTCTGTTCAATCAATCATCAATCATTCGTTTTGGACTCAATAAATTTATTTAATCAATAAAATTGCAGAAGTTATTTTCTTCAGATTCAAATTCCGTTTCCTTTTCGTGGAGCAGATTCTGCGAATTCCGTCTGCTTTCCGCGATCGCGAAAAACCATTGTCCCTAGATAAGTTACGCAATGGTGTAACTCCGCTTGCACCACAATATATTGCATGAGTTGCACAACTTTGCACACTGCGCAACATTTCAATTATGACACATTTCACGAAAGTTTCATAGAGCGTAAGTCCGCGACTTACGTAACAAATTATGGCGTAACATACTCAATCATTTAAGGTGGCATATGTTGTGGCATAGTGACTGAAACTGAACTACATGGGAATTTATTATCAAGTCGTGTTTGTCGTGGAGCCTATAATTCCACAAATTATCAAGGTTGATACAAGAAACTCACAGCTTTATATTTTACGTAAATTAATATGTATTTATTTACCGGTATATATTTATCAGTACAGTGGAATGTCGCTTTACCGAACACTGCTATATCGAACATTTGGCTATACCGAACATCATCCATGGCTCTTGATTTTTGTGTACAAAACGTACCGAATATTGATGTCAACAGAAGAGCGAAAAGTGCCTATAATTTCCCCAGGAATAGAAGGGGAAAGCCACCCATTGCTGTAGGTATCGGTAGTAAGCTCACAATCTGTGTTATGACATTATTCAATAGTCGGCACGTGTTTAAAGTCATCTTTTAGTAACTAGACGTACCAGGGCGTGCAGGGTGCTGAATGGCGCTATTTATTGAAAAATGAGTACCAGAGCACCGGCAGCTTAAAATCGTTACACCAAACGATCGCTACTACGAACAATTTTTGTGGATCCCGCGATATTGGATATATAGCGGCGTTACACTGTATCTGCTCCGTTCACAAGTACCCCCTCACCGGCAAAGCAAGTACAGTTGGGGGTGACCAAACGCCATCTTGCCTGACTGCAATTTTGCAGCAACGTGCAGCCGTACCACTGCGTGTACATAGTACAAATCCCCTGGTGTACCTGCTTCACACAAAAGGAACGGTGCGCGTCAACCAGCTAAATGTCCCGCCTATGGGATGTTATTGCTAGGTAAAAGGGCGCCCTCTTTTGTTGGCGCACGGAGCCTATTATCCTCACTGCTTACCTCTTTGTCGTGAGCAATGAGTTGTGTTTTGACGTGTCCAGTCACCATGTTGACCCTTCCCAGCATCTGGCCGGTCTCCAGGCCCCATATCGTACACGTGGTGTCGATGCTGGAGGTTCCTAGAAGGTTAGGATCTACTTCGTTCCAATCAAAGGACGTCAGTGGGGCACAGAAGTCTGAGTTCTTGTTCTAAGGACCAAAAACAAATGAGACATGCTCGTCACTTTCTTAATAACTACAGTAAACTCCTGTCATTAAAAATGGAATGTACAACATTTGCTTTTGCCATAATTTTCAGAAATGGATATTTTTTTGGGGGGCGTGGTAGTATTTTAAAGGGAAGATACAACATTTGCAAACATCAAAAACGAAATGGTAGAATTATCATGAAATACCTTACTGGATTGTTAGGGAATGACAGTGTAAAGCATCCTGTAAAACTTTTGGCTCCTGGTGTGTTGACATGTTAAAAAAAAATTGGCTTGTTTCAAAAAGTGCTCCTAATTTTTCATATTTCTTTCGTCTGCATTTCTTTGCAATTGATTACACACCTGTGAAGAGGTACAAGCCCGCTAGACTGATTCTCTGATCTTACAATTCCCCAAAGTCTATAAATATTCCGTTTCATCTTAAGTTGGGTCAGGGAACCAGACTTCAAGAATATGATTGGTTTTCCTGGTTTTTCCAGCATCTACGAACCAAAAACTTTAAAAAAAAGTCAGTGTAACAATATTTGCTATAACATACATGTACTAATCTTCCAAATCCATTTATTTCTGAAAATTGCAGCAAAAGCAAAGGTTGTACATTCCCTTTAAAGCAAATATTGTTACATTGACTTGTTTGAAGTTTTGTGTTTGTAGATGCTGGAAAACCAAGGAAAACGATCAAGTTCTTGTAGTCTGGTTCCCTAACCAAATTAAGATGAAACAGAGCATTTCAAAGAATTGTCAGGTCAGAGAACCAGTTTTGCTGGCTTGCACCTGTTCACGGACGTGTAACCAACTGCAAACAAAATGTGGACTGAATAAATTTGGTAAATTGGGGGCAGTAGTTGAAAAAAAGTCGGGTTTTTTCAATGCTGGTCAGCCGACCAGCGTTGGAAATACAAAAATACCACCGTTCTTGAAAATGACAGCACACCAGGTGCCATGATTAATACAGGATGCTTTAGACTGTCATTCAATAACAGTCCAGTGAGGTATTTCATAATATTTTGCTACTATTGTTTTTTGATGTTTGTCAATGTTGTATATTCCGTTATCAAATCTCAGGGAACTGATAAAAAAAAAGAGGTACATGTATCCGGATTTCGCACCAGCAAACAATGTTCTGGTTCGAGCGCATAAGTTCGCATAAAGCCCGGTTCATACTCGGCGCGAAAGCGAAAGCAAAAGCGAACGCGAATTTGTGACGTGATGGCAAGTACATGTATTTGCGCTGCGAATTCGTAAAAGTTGAACATATTTCAACTCGGGCGAATTTCGCAGCGCACGTTTCATGACGTCAAATTCGCTTCGCATTCGCATTCGCGTGGAGTATGAATCGGGCTTAATGCTATTCTGAACGTGCAAACAACTGTTGCAAACAATAGGCACGCGAAGGTAAGGCGTCACCAGCAATGCGTTTGAATGTCCCGACCAGCAATCTCTCCAAACTCTCCCTTTGTAACCATTGAAGGGGGGGGGGGGGGGGGGTTACATGGGCACAAAGTCTATAGACTTCTAGTCTGGCATCGGACTCTACTCACATTATTCAAAAGGCATTCGAGTCTGGTGTCGGTCTCGCCCACCCGCCAGACCCTTAAGTAATCACCGCTGGTGGCCACCAGATCTTGGAACACACCTTTCTGTGAAAAAAAAGAGAAAATATATAGAACACAAAGTAAATGTATACGTGGTTAAAAGTTGTATACATTTCATGCAATAATCCCAAGTGGCTTGTGCACACCAGTTCGTAATATGTGAGCGGTTTTGGCGACATTCCCCCCTGCCCTCCAAAATACCCAACTGGTGAGGGCGCACTACTGCTGAAGGAACAGTGCGTGCGATGCCAGTGCGATGCAATCCACTAGCGTCTTGAACAGAGACTAGACTGTAGATGTACATTGTAGCTGGGTTACGCATATGTGTAGGGCTGTGTATTGGAACCGGGTACCAAAGTACCCGACCGTTGATGTCAGGAACCGGTTCCAGATTATGGGATCGGGTACCCCTAACAATCTTACAAATTACTTAGTGATCTGTCTGGAATCCACATGATCATTGCTTCTCTCCACCCAGGAGTTAATTAGCCTTGGTCAATGCTCTCGTCGTTATTCGTCCCGTACGCGGTCAATCGTCGGCATATATCCTCGCGATATGCACATGCATGTAAAAATACAGCGTGAACAGCGACCTCATGCGGCCACTACTTTTTTATGCAAATCAGTTGGGGACGATCGAGAGCCTTGGTTCAATCGTCGGCAAAAGCTTATGTTTTTCTTTATTTTGCGCTGGATTTCTAGTGCACGACCTCGTATGCGAATACAGATAAGTGTAGGCGGGGCTAATATGTGGAGTGTCCAATCACACCTTGGTAAATCCGGACGTCATCAAATTATTTGCAGCTATTCGCCTTTTGCGGACGTGACAGGAACCACAGTTTTTGTGCATTGGTGCCGTGTGCAGAGACACACAACGTGTACGTGTATGGATTATGTACGGTGCCACATTTCACTTTGCAAGTTTCCACGCAACGATCGACCGATAAGAAAACGACATTTAAGGTCAGCTAAGGCTATTAACATAATGAGCACCATTCCCAAAACCTCACATGGACGATTGAACCAAGGCTCTCGATCGTCCCCAACTTATTTGCATATAAAATAGTGGCCGCGTCAGGTCGCTGTTCGCGCTGTATTTTTACATGCATGCGCATAGCGCGTGAGGATATATGCCGACGATTGACCGCGTACGGGACGAATAACGACGAGAGCATTGACCAAGGCTAGGAGTAAATGCGTACCTGTGAAGGCAGAGATGGTTATTGTGGTTGAATTAGCTTCCCTTACACCTAACACTAACAGGCAGCATCAAGCTGTATACTCCCCAGGGAGCTGAGATGGTATTTGGAATGTTTCATGTGCCCAATGAGCAGGGGTAATAATGATGTAGCGCCTTGAGCACCAGTCCTGGTGGATACGTGCGCTTTATAAATATTATTATTATTCGCACACAATGAAAAACAAAGGTTTTGAATGTCATTCGGGGGAATTTTTGAAGTGAAAACTAGGCTACATGGAAAAGCAAAACGCGTTTATGACGCACGCTAAAGTTACACTATTCACCAAAAAGCTATCTGGTTCGTTAGTGTGACTTCGTCTCGATTCAACCATGCGTATTTCACACGGTGTAGCATATCACAAATGTTTATCCAATGGGCGCTGGTGATTAGTGCGCGCGCGCGCGTGAACAACGATTTTACTAACGAACTGGATAAAGCTCACTGTACAAACATGAATTGCTGAACTAACCCACCACGCCCAGACCTACAGTCTGAACAGAAACGGGTACCCGTGTTTTTGTTCAAACGGGTATCCGGTTCCTTAACTGTATCCGTAAATGCACACCACTACACATGTGCTGTACTTACACTGTCTGGAATCCACATGATCTTGGTGGTAGGGTATGGGTGATCAAACGTACTCCTGGCTTCAAACTCCGACGTCTCTTCATTCAATGACACAATCTGAACCTGTGTGAGAAAAATACAAAACTAATGCTGTGGCTATACATGTAAGTTGACATATCGACCAAGGCACATACATGTACGTCGGTTCTCCGACTTTGCTCAAATTTGAATAAACTCTTCAGGAGTCATGAATCAGACAGAAATGAGGCGATTTCATGCATTAACCCTAACCCCCTAGGCCCTTGTTGCTTACAACCATCCAAAATCCTCCAAAATCCTCCAAAATTTTGCAACTCCGCCTTAATTTTTCAAAATTGTCAGACAGTCCTGCCTCAAATTCGGCATTAATCCTCAATCCTCCAAAATCCTCCTCATCCCAAAACTTTGCACTCATGTTTAAATGAAGGATAACCAACGCCAAATCCTTCAAAATCATCAGACAGTCCTGCCTCAAAATGCATTCATCCTCAATCCTCCAAAATCCTCTTGTGCTTCAATCACCATTCATCCTCAATCCTCCAAAATCCTCATGTGCTTCAATCACCATTCATCCTTAATCCTCCAGAATCCTCATTTGATTCAATCACCATTCATCCTCAATCCTCTAGAATCCTCCAAAACCGCCAGGAGGATTTTGGAGGAGTGAGGTGGGTTGGGTTAAAATGTGGGATTTTTATCTGACCCCTTAATCATGTTAATATGTTGGTCTGGCAACAAAACCCAACTGCTGGCCTGATGGTTTTGTGTCCGAATGTTAATAAAGGTGATAAGTAGGGTCCAAGTTACTCGGACTACACCTGACCATGCATACCTAGTGTGATAGCCCTCTAAATGTGGCCAATTTACTGGACTACCTCCGTAAATAAATTAAAGGCCACACTTGGAACATGCACCCAAAAATTTAGAACTTAGTCAAATTTTGATTTTCACATTTGGACTATTCTATTGAATATTGTCAGGGATGAAACTGGAAATTTAGTAAAAACGAGGAAACTCCAAACCACACAAGACTTTGTACATTGTTTTTCAATTTGTAATGGCATTCATGAGAAGTAAAAAAACGAGGAAATCAGCAGATCCGAGGAAAAGTTGCATGCCTGTATTGTAGTTTATTTACGCTTTAGAAGCATACTCAACCTCTTCATAGCCATAGAAAAGTTGTCCTGCATTTTTCAGACGTCTATTTTGCATGTAATTTCTAGGCTCGTTTGCACACTGCACATTTGCGTATCTAATTAAGTAGGCTAAAGTAAGGCCTACGTAAAAAGTAGGCCTAAATTCCAACACAAAATTACACGAAAAATAGATGGACTACGCAGGCATGGCAGGACTATCTGACTATCGCTATAAAACTAACATGACTAAAACTAAGACTGTGGGTATGTCTAAGGCCGAGGAAATGAAAGTCATAGAATACTGTCCTGCTGATTTTGAAAATCAACGAGGCTTTTTTTCATTATTCATTATTCATTAATCTGAAGCACTAACCAGAATTTCAGAAAGTGTTTTGGATCGGGAAAACGCCAACAGGCAGTCGTTGGTATCAATGCAGCGCTAGTGCTGGTCATGCTGGTAGCCGCGCGCTACACATTGTATCAAGGAGGAATTCCTCCATGATTGTATGCACATGATGCACGTATTGTACATGTACCGCACGTGTTCACCGTACTCTGTACGCGTGGGCAGATTGGGTTTCGCACCAATGACAATGTGGTACACAGAATACGACTATTCTGCGTTAGAAAAATTGTGTAGAGTAGATTCTGATAAAATTAGAAGTAAACTGGGCACAATTGCAGAATACCCCGCCACTCGATCTATCCACCTCGTAGCCGGCTACGAGGTCACGGCTGATTGACCTCAATAAACATTCTCAGCGCTACTTGTATGTACTATGCGTCATGCTCCATTGCACTCCCACTTCGTGACCGCGTAGCCGCCAACAGGGTAGTTGGTTTGGACTTAAAATTTTTTCAGCAACTCCCATTCCTTTTGTGTTGCTTCGTTCTCAAGCATATTCAATGGGACTCCCACTCCGTAGCCTCGTAGCCGCCAACAGGGTGGTTGGTTTGGACTTAGAATTTTTTTCAGCAACTCCCATTCATTTTGTGTTGCTTCGTTCTCAAATAATGGACCCCCTATCCCCGTAGCTGACAATGGACTTGAATTGTTTCTTTTGCAGTGATTCCAACCTCGTAGCCAGTGATTTTAGGGGTGTATTTCCGAGTGGCGGGGTATTCTGCAATTACTCCGTAAACTGTTGAGGCAGATTAATATTCTGGGTAAATAATGATTTTTTTTTTGTAAATAATGAAAAATTTCGGCGGCACCTTTCGGCACATGTCATGTAGGCCTAGGCCTAGTACATGTACGCGACTACTGCGAGCGGTGGACGGTAATTCTATGATTTTCATTCCCTCGGCCTAAACTAAAGCATAAATAAAGCTACAATTTATGCGAAAATCTAAATTTGACAAAGTTCTACATTTTCGGGTGCATGTTCCAAGTGTGACTTTATTTGCGCAGCTCAGTAGCTGGAGTTACCCAGCCCTGAGTTTTATCATTGGGTTGTCATCTAGGGCTGGAGCGTATTTTTCTCAAAACTTGTAGTATATTCAAAATTTTTTGGAAAATGTTCAATTTTGTCCCCGTTACACACTAATTGCAACTGCAACTCACCTCAAACTTGCCTGGAATAACCATTACACAGGTCCTTGAAGTAAAAAACGATCCACGATGAAGATTCAGCCTACAATTGCAGTGAAAACAGGAGGAATAACCGCTAACTTGACAACCTTGCTGGATTGGCCAGGACCGCAATTGGTTTGTGCACAAAAAAAATTGTGTACAATGAATGGCGGTCGATTAACAGGCACAGAGAGCGATCGCTGTCAACTACTCGTTTTTGCCGGCTGCGCTGGCTGTTGGCGCATGACGTCACGCGGAAGCGTAACGGGTCGCACTAAACAGCGTCAACACAGCGTCAACACAGCGTCAACACATGACAGAAGCGTCAACACACCGTCAACACATCCAAAACACATTCTGAATTGACAAAAAGGGCATATAATTGTGAAACATACAATAAAGGAGAATTTCCATTGGATTGAGTTTCCATTTCGTTGTTAAAAATATCGTATTTTCACGCGAAAAAAATGACCTTAACTTGCACGGCCGTTGTCCGCCATCTTGACTTCGCACAAAGCTTGGACTACACCATTTCAAGTAGGGGTGTGTAGGTAATGACATTATCTTGTCATAAATAACAGAGGGCGCCTTGCAATATTATACAATAATGTAAATACCAACGAACAAGTAAAGAAAATTAAACAACAAAGGCAATTGCAGCGTAAACACAGCATTAAATTGTTAGTCTTTGCAGATATTTTTAACACTGGCGACCCCGGCCGCGTCCCTCTCTGTTGGTTTATTGTACAACGCTATCACCCTTTAGAATAATGGTATGGTCCGCGCTGCCATTGAGGCAACATGGCGGGTGTTCGGTAGCCGATTTCGGAGCGGCACGGAGAGCCAATTTTCTTGAACTAAAAATCGCGATTTTCAGACGTTTAACCTATTGATTTTAAGCACAAATCTTGTTTCTGTCCATACTGTATGGGTTACATACTGCTTTTGTCAATTTTAATGCATTTTGGATGTGTTGACGCTGTGTTGACGCTGTGTTGACGCTTTGGAGTGTGTTGACGCTGTGTTGACGCTGTTTAGTATGACCGAGCGTAACACCCGATGACTGTTTCATGCACTAATATAAGGTTTACCACTCGCATCACAGCTTTGGTACTGGAACCGCAACCAATAGTGCATGAAACAGTCATTGGGTGTTACGCTTCCGCGTGACGTCATGCGCCAACAGCCAGCGCAGCCGGCAAAACGAGTAGTTGACAGCGATCGCTCTCTGTGCCTGTTAATCGACCGCCATTCATTGTACACAATTTTTTTTGTGCACAAACCAATTGCGGTCCTGGCCAATCCAGCAAGGTTGTCAAGTTAGCAGTTATTCCTCCTGTTTTCACTGCAATTGTAGGCTGAATCTTCATCGTGGATCGTTTTTTACTTCAAGGACCTGTGTAATGGTTATTCCAGGCAAGTTTGAGGTGAGTTGCAGTTGCAATTAGTGTGTAACGGGGACAAAATTGAACATTTTCCAAATTTTTTTGAATATACTACAAGTTTTTAGAAAAATACGCTCCAGCCCTAGATGACAACCCAATGATAAAACTCAGGGCTGGGTAACTCCAGCTAGCAGCTCAGGTAGATTTTTGGCCACATTTATGGGGCTAAGTCAGTGTGCAGTGATAACCGACCTTGTTGTTGTATTCTTCGACAAAACTACCGACTGCCAAGCGGAATCTTTTATCGGGCCTGACGCTCCAATTCATGCTGTACAATGTCCACGGTGCCTCATATTTGTAGATCTCCTTCCTCTTTGGCGGCAGAGACGCCATTTTGGTACCTTTGACTTTAAATTGACCGTTTTTCGTGGATATTTCTGGGCTATGTTTGTAAACAATGCTACACAAAAAATTCGGGGAAAATGGCGATTTTACTTCGTGGTTGGTTCACACAACATAGCCCATGCTTCATTGTATCCAAACGCCGGGAACCATGGAATTTTTCAAGGATTTGACAAATGGGGGCGCTACACATTTTTAAAGACTTGCACAAAAAAGCAATAAAAGGCTCACAACAAATGCACCATATCTGTATTATATATTTTTTTTCCTTGGGAAGAGCCATTGATCTCCATTAGTCTTACTAATGGAGGTCAATGGGAAGAACTGACTCAAGCTAGTATAATAGCTCACGCGGTCAACAAACTTTCTTGTATAGTTTTACGATTGTTTTAGATTCTTGAGGAGGATTGTTTTAACGTAAAGAATAATATCGGTTCTTATAGTTTATTCGACTGATTATCATATATCAGGTTTGAAGCAAAACTAATGTTAAGATTAAGTGCCCATGTAGGGCCTAATGTTTTTTTTAATGCAGTCCTTGTATATGCAACTTCATATTCCATTTAACCTTATTTTTAATGTTCACTTTACCTTTGAAAGGGCAAATTGTGGTGCCTTTTTTTTTTGGGCCGTATAATGCAAATTTCCATCCTGAGCAAAAGTGTGATACCCAGAATTCGGATATTTTGCTGTTGTAATAAACTTTCTTTTTTTGTTTATTCGTTGTTTTTTCAGTACTTTTACAGTAGGCTTCTGAGCAACGTTTTCTGTTTCCCATGAGCCAATTTTGGGTTCACCGTGTGAACAAAAACCTTTAACGGAACTGTGTCTTCCCTGAAATCCAAATGGCGTCACAGCAACAGCGCCCTCATTCGTCATGAAAAATTGACAATTTAAAAACTTTTTAAAGAAGTGCACTTTTCAAAAAGAATAACCAAAAAGGGATGTCATGTTGTTTTGCATACATTTTAAGACGTGTACAAAGTTGCACAAAATATTTTCTCAAGTAAAACGTTTCCCGTATAGCAACATGTAACAAATGTCTTTTGTGAGTTTTAATGAGGTTCTGAAAAAAAACCGGATCAGCGTTTCGGATAGTATACTCTGCCCAGTCGTCAGGAGACTGAAGGATATTAAAATAATGTGAGAGTTTTGTCAGGGCGATCGTCGAGCTACGGGACGGCAGGGGGTTTCAGTTGGCTGGGTGGGCCGTTTGTTTAGTGCTGTATCCCTGAGATTACCTATATAACGGTCTCCAACAATATGACAAGAAGATTACAGCCATGGGCGTCGCAGGAATTGTTCTTGAGGGGGCAAAATACTCACCCGAAAGGAACTGGGGAAATCACCAGCCGAGGGGGTACGGGCCAGACATCAGCCGACGCTTTGTTAAAAACAGTCCATGCTGTAATGATTCACCCATCCCTTTCTTTCTTTTCATGCTCTTTTTCCTTTTTATCCCTCTCCATTTTCTACACAGGGCTTTTCAGGGGAGATACCCTCCGATTCCCCGCGACGCCTTTGCTTAAAGCGTTTTTGGTGACCTGAGAGGGCGCTATTAAGGTTGGTTCAATTTGGGTAAGTTTACACAAAATAGACCTTTCGATCTATTGTGTGTTTCAAACATTGAGCGCCATTTTGTATGGGCTGCCGAAGCGCATTTATTGAAGCCGTGGTTGGCAACAAATTTTTCCTAAAAAGTCCTTATAACACCATCATTACATTAATATCAGGCATGTTTAATAAACATTTTGCTGCTTTGGTTGATAAATTTGTATTTTTAGCAATCAAATAATATTTTTTATAATCAATAACTATTCTTCATTTTTGCAGTGTTGGACCTACCATAGTTTGTAAACGAGCGCCGCGGGTTTGGCAAAAATGTTCCAACCACGCACGCGTCGTCGATAAAATAGCACAAAAACCATCTTGAAATAGGCCAAAATCCGTCCGACGAGCTCAAGAATAAAAGTTATATCCTCAAATTATTCTATATTACAGAGTTCTGAGAGCCATGGATTTGGAGAATTGAAGAGATGTGGCACTGAACCGCTGGTCTGGACTTGGAGCTTCCAATTCTGAGCATTTTGGATGCAATGGGGCCCGGGTGCTATTTAGCCATGTTGTCGGGGGATTCTTATTCAAAATGGCTACTTTTCCAGTTTGGGAAACATCATTCGTTTTAGGGGTGTTCTTCGTTGGGTGTGAATATCTCAAAAAGTTAATGGTCAGCCCACCAAAAATTGAAAAGAAAATGAAAGATGACATGTTGATTATCATTTTTCTGTAGATTCTGATCACCTGTGAGAGTTCTGAGTATATTTGAAAAGAAATTTGAAGAGTGAGTATTTATCATAGGTGTCTATGGGAATTTTAATACAGCGTTGCACCCGTCCGCCTCCTTTTTTTTTATACGGCAGCGCACATCGTCAATAATCATGTATATTCAGCTAGCTCGATGTTTATTCATAAGAAAAAAACAATGACGTCACACCATTGCTATCACTCAGTCATGCATGTACATTAAAGCATTTCAAAGAACGGCATTCGTCGAGCTGCCACAGTGACCTAGTGGATAGTGGAATGAACTATGGATCGCAAGATCTGTGGTTCAAACCCATGTCCATTTTCATAATATGTTTGTTGCTTGGGATAAGTTTAATTAAAGGGAAAACACTACGAGAACCTATAGTGTCATATCCACACAGCGTGATTAATATTCATGTTAGGGTGCGTGATGCTGCAAAATATAATACAAACAAACCCAGTCCTATTTCAAAAGGGTTATTAGGGCCAGACTATAATTATGTTTACCAGCAAAAAGTATGGTATCATCTTAAAGCCGAAGCTGTGTGCTATTCAATGATACCATGGGTTACATTCCAGGGTCACGCATCATGGAGCACCATTGTCTTGAAGTTGTGGTGCAAAGATGCAGTTGGCTCACTTTCCTGCTGAACAAAATTTTATTCACGATCATGAGTTCACGGATCATGAGTAATTAACATTTAACAGCAGAAGTTTCCGATTCTCTCTCATTTGACAATTCCCGTAATGTCCACCTCCCCTCTCCAAGCACAGCTGAAGTCAACGGCGGCGTAGGTCGTCCACAGCAGCTCGTCTCATGTTGTGGGTTCGAGTCCAACCTGCGTGACGGTAGGCTTCGCAAGCCATCAGATAACACCGTCACCGACACCACGAAGTAACACCCATCTACATACCAGTAAAAACTAGCAATCGGAGAAAACGGCAACTAAAGTTGAACGCCTTCTAAAACAACACTTTGCGTCAAAACGACAGAGTATTTTCAGTTGGGTTTCTCGTTGTGGACACTTGATGAATTGAATTTATTAAATCTGCTGTTTTTCACCAGTTTGTGTATTAAATAAACAAGAAATACGAGAAAAAAGATGAGTGTTAGTTCGTGAAACCGAAAAGGCTGCGAAACTGTAAATTTTCGTTTTCACGAAGTAACACTCTTCGATGTATTCAACACGAGGAAAGTGCAACTTCAGGTCAGCACGCGCGCGCTCATACAACTTGTTACAAGAAGAGTGTTACTTCGTGAAAACGTTTTTGCTCACTTATGAGCAGAGTGCGCGCCATGCTTTTCAATGGTTAATGGAACTTGAGTGTTACTTCGTGAAAACGAAAATTGTCACTTTTGCGCAAAAGTTGCCATGGATACTTAGCGTAATTATTAAAGTAAAGCTCTTGAAGCTTTGAAACTTCGTGCAATGGTAGGCCTTGATGAATAATGTTTAAAAATAAAAAAAAACTGAAAATCGAAAAAATATGGTTTAACACGGTGGTGTTAAACTTCGTGGTGTCGGTGACGACCCGTACTGAGAAGGTAACGTGATTATAGCCCTACACCTAACTCTGCACCTCATGGCGTCAAAAATCCTTAGGGTTGGAACATAGGTACAATTGGAGAACAGTTACAAATTTAAAGGGAAAATACAACATTTGCAAACATCAAAAAATAAAACTACCAAATCATTTTGAAATACCTTGCTGGACTGTTAGTGAATGACAGTGTAAAGCATCCTGTAAAATCATGGCACCTGGTATACTGTCATTTTCAAAAAAAGTGGTATTTTTGTATCAATTTCCAACGCTGATCGGCCGATCAGCGTTGGAAAAAACTGGCTTTTTTTTCAAATACTGGCCCCAATTGACTATCGCACTTGTTTGCAATCGATTACAAACCTACGAACGGGTACGAGCCAGCGAGACTGGTTCCCTGACCTTACAATTCCCCAATGTATGTAAACTGCTCTGTTTCTTCTTATATGGAGTCAGGGAACCAGACTACAGGAAAATGATTGTTTTTCTTGGTTTTTATAGCATTTTTGAACCCAAAACCTCAAAAAAGTCAGTGTAACTATATTTGCTATATATTTCCAACCCCCCAATTCCATCCATTTCTGAAAATTACAGCAAAAGCAAATGATGTATATTCCCTTTAAAACACCGTCTGCAAAAGTGCAAGACTAATTTAGTACAAAATATATGTCGGCACAGAGAGGCCACATAAAGCTTGTACTCGATCGTAACCCCATCTACAATCACGTCGAAAATGTGAAGCAGTAGGATTCCAGTCAATCCAGTAAGTTTGGCGGTTTTGAGACATCATCTTACATTTAAAAAACAAATAAAAAACGCCGAAGCGCATGGCTACGGTGATGCGCGCGCAGACCAGAAACCGGAGACTTGTTTGGGGCCTAAGTATTGCTTTTTATCGCAGTACTGCGGAATAACGCAATGATATATTGCAAAATAACGCGATAGTATTGCAAAATAACGCAGCATTAGTAGTGCAAAAATACTAAACACTATCGCGTTATTTTGCAATACTATTGCGTTATTTTACAATATTATCCCATTTTTTTCACAATAAGTTTTTTTTTTCCGATACTGTCAAAAATGAAGTAATTCGACTATTCAAAATAACACGTGATTTATTATTGCAAAATAACACAATAGTATTGAAATATAACATGCGCAAGTATTGCTAAATACGATATCTGAGGATTGAAAAAAAACACAACTTTTGCGTTACTATTCAAATTACTATTGCTTTATTTCGGAAATTTAACATTGTTTTGCAAAATTACTGCATTATTTTGCCAAACTATTACACTGTTTCACAAAACTATTGGGTTAGTATTTTTTGCGCTGAAAAAAGCTGACACGAGCCGGCTTCGGTATTTATTAAATAATAAATATCGAGAATTGAAAACATTTCCCTCGCTATCTTTAAAGAACTAGAAGTGCTTGACGAGAATGTTGCACTTTTTGCCGCCGACCGATATAGCGCAGCGTGATTTTCGCGTGGGGCGGCCCGGGCTTGCACGCCGCAATCTCCGGGCAACGTGACCGTCGTTGCACGGTGAAATCATGTCTGTTTCGGCTTGGATGGTACCCCGAAGCTCACGGTTATTTGTTGGCACTCGTGCTGAAAGGAGCCCTGCTGATTTCCCTCAACCTCGTTCGCATGGGACGAAATCATTTTTAATTGTTTTATTTTGAACCCCCCGCCCCACATTTAGACCAGAAAAAAAAAACCTATGACGATTTCATGGACTTTTCCAACGACAACTTGGGACAAATCCTGGAGAAATTGAGAGAAAAAATACCCCTGTACTTTTCCAATGGGTGGCTTTCGCTTTTTGCCTTCGAGTCCATTGATGCGCATGCGTGCATGGATTTGAATTTAAAATGTATTAGTGAATTGGTCTACAGCTGTAATTCGCCCTTTGCATGCTGCCGCCATAAGCATGCATAGCCTCGATCTGACAACTTTTTACACAAAAAAAATATATTCCCGTGTCGGGGTTCAGTGATTCCCGTGTATACACGGGAATCACTGAACCGGCTTTTTATTGTGTAAAGTTGCCAGATCGAGGCTCTGCATGCTTATGGCGGAAGCATGACAAGGGCCAATAGTGAGCTTTGAATTCGCATTAGCATAAAAACCGAAAAGGCACCAAATGTCCTGAAAGTGGCAAAATATTAAGTCGTTAAATGGTGACACGTGTGCATCCGGTAAAATATGTCACTGGTGTGCCGTCATCTTCAAGGAAAGGTGGCATTTTGGTATCAATTTCCAACGCGGGTCGGCCGACTAACGTTGGAAAAAAAACCTGTTTTTTTTTTCTCAAAAACTGCCCCCCAAATTATACCATATTTAGTTGGTCTGTGCAATCGATTAACACACATAATATGAAAGGGTTCAAGCCAGCTAGACTGTTTCCCTGACCTTAATTCCCCGACGTCTATTAATTGCTCAGTTGCATCTTACGTGGGATCAGGGAACCAGACTAAAGGAACCTGATTGGTTTTCTTTGTTTTTTTCCCCAGCATTTACGAACACAAAAAAATCAAACAAGTCACTGTAACAATATTTTCTTTAAAATATACTTACTCCCAAATCATTTCTGAAAATAACAGCAAAGGCATTATCATTTACTTTTGATCACTTAATAATATGACCTACAAGTTCAATCATCCCTGAAAGTTCAGGAATCATGATTTCCAAAGAGATCTGTCAATTCTGGACATTTTAAAATGGGGTTCCCCATCTCTATAAATAAACACATATCTCCCTTGTTTCCCTCTTCAGGATTGCGCAAAACCGCTATAAAAATTCCTGATAAAAAAAAATCACAGACTTAAAAACGAAAGTGTTATCCACTTCAACTCCTACACACACATTTGAACAGTAAAGAGTGACAACCACTTAATCAATTTCTTTAACAAGTTCTACCCGAGTGCGCTTATTTTCTCAGAGAGAGTGAGTCATAAAAATCCGCTGGAAAGTTTCATCACCGAGGTATTGTATGGGGGCGATAAGTTAATACACTCGCCCCCGTGACCCCTTCACACAGAATCAACAACGGCGTTGCACCAACGGCCAACTTTCATTCTTTGAACCCGCACGTCCTACGTAGGGCTAGGCTAAGGTATTTTGCACAACAAAAGCAACCCGAATACCACGCCCAGTGAAAGCTATTCAGGCGAAGATCCCTACTTTACCTAACAATACACGGAACCCGTGCGTGTACATGTACTGTACAAGGTCGTGTGTAGGCACCGATACAGGTTGAACGGTGTACTTGTAAGCCTAGTGTGAAAACGTATTCTATCACTCGTACGTGTGTGGTATCTGCTGGAAGAAGTCTGTTCCCAGTACAACTTTCTGGTAAGTGAACATTCTTTCATATTCACCAAATCCTGCTTTACCTTTATGATGTTTTAAAGCAATCCAAAATGACGACGAAGTTTGTCTAGGAAAGTAAGTGTTTACGGTCATAAATTCGACCGGTGTTATACGGGTCATTTGGGTTGTTGGTATCGGGTAACTTGCCACTTATTGCTACATGTAATATCCTTCCTTCACTACTGTGCACATTTTGATATCCGATCTGGTTTGTACACGTCACGATCTTGTGCTACGTGAACTGGCATATAGGCGTGATCAATACTGCCTGGAGTTGAGTTATTATGAACTACAGACTATTCATGTACTTCGCAGCAAGAATAAAATACTACCGTTTTTTTGCTTTTGTTTAGGGATGATCAACACTGGTAATAAATGTGGGCTGCAATCGATTTAAAGTCTATTGCGTTCTTGCTATAGTTTTGTATCTCTTTAAAATTCGGGAAATTATAAAATATGTCGTAATGTTGTTTTCGAATATCCTTTTTTTTGGTTTTGAAATAAGGAGACAGCTAGTGTATATTTGAGAACCCAATAGGGAAAGAATGTTGCACCTTGACGCCTTTTTGTTTTCAGTTTTAGGAAATACTTTGCAAATGTTCTGTACAACCATGACAACTGCTGCAGTGGCGTCTCGATACATTCTTTCCCAAAATCGGTTATCGACGGAGATATAATTTTACAATATTATACTATTTTGTAGTTATAAACTTTTTCATGAAAGATTTATCTTGATGTGTTTTTTTTGGGTGACTCGAATACTCTCGGTTTTTGGAACACTTTTTCAGACAGAAAGCGACACTACGAATTTTTTTCTCGAATGACGCCTAGATAATTTAAAATTCCCCTTCCGTCATAAATATGTTTAAAAAATACCCTCTAATATTTCAATCGGTTGTCTCATGCAATGTTATGTAACTTGAATAGGTCTGTCTGGCATTTAGGTAAAGATGAATTTCAAAAACCCAATTTACTTTGTTTTTGGACAACAAAAAAGGTCTATTTGACATCAGCAGCTGATAAAGCGATTACGAAACAGACAGGAGTAATACATGTATAATAACAGACACGCGGCAACTCGGATGTGACACAAATAGAACAATTCTAAACCGCGATGAGTAAAATACTATGTCCTTCCGAGGTCACAGTAATAGGACACACATGATACAATCAGCTGTGAACTCATCGTTGCACATACATCTTATTTTACTATATTCCAGAGGACAATGCTTTGTGTTTCCCCTTGTCCTGTAATATAACTCTCTCCCATAGACTATAAACACACGAACCTACTACAGAGGACCGTTTGAACAAAAGACCCAACTCCCGAGGACTGAAAGGATCTGTTGTTCTTCCTTTGTGTGTCTGTCCTCGGGGTTATGTAGAACACGTACACCATGACTTGGATAGTTGTGTGTTCAAACCGATCTAACTCACCCCTCAATCCTTCCAAACCAAACAGGCAGTTTTGGAGGATTTTGGAGGATTGAGGCTGAATGGCAAACAAGTGTCAGTTGATTTATGATGCATTGTGTCGAGTTTGTAGGTTGTACCCTGCAGTGCTTGTGTTCAGCCATGCATAACAGAGGCTCACATTTACTGGATACCATCCGCACTGCTTTTTCATATACATGTACATGTAATTGGCACTGCCTTAACATATTCACAGTGATTGGTGGAGGATTTTGATAGGTTGAGGCAGTGGTTACCCCTCAACGGAAGAAAGTTAAGAAATAACGGATGATTTTGGAGGATTGAGGCTGAATCGAGTTTCTACATGGTAGCCATTGGAGGATTGTGCAGGATTGAAGAAAAGGGACTAAAATGCACCAACAAAATCAGGCTAACTTCAGTCGAATTTCACATGGCAAGGCTCAGCAACTGCATTTAAAGCTTCTTATTTCAAATTGTGGTCAAGTTTGATAGCCGTCATCAGGTTGAGCAACCTAATACAAAAGTGCCTTTATACTTCAAGTTCAAGGATTCATAATGATGTTGGTAGGCTGAAACTAGGGCGGAGCACATGAAAGTTACTTTGTGGGCTATTCTACTATAACTCCTGAAATATTTCAAATATATATTTAGAAATTATTTTGTAGAAAAAATATGATTCAGATGTTTTCTTGACCTTTAGTGTTACCCACCCTTGCCGCAGTTTCTCAGTTTGTTCAATAAGCCATCATTGTGTCTTTTGTCCCGTGTGAGTCAATGGAATCGTCCATTATGCACTTGTATTTCCTCGTGGGGGCGTGTTGGGAGAACACTCTAGGATTATTCGGTCAACGCACTATCGAAGTCCCTTGAACCTGCACCTTTAACAATGGTATTGCGTCATTTCTATTTAACGTTTCATGTCTCATTTTATTCCCGGCTTATTTTACTGACGGAAAAGAAGTTGAAATTTATTTGGTACCCAAGGGAAGCCGAGACCGAACCCTCGCATATGAAATTGTTGGTACATATAGACCATTGGCGTTGCACCAGTAAGCTGCGTTGTGTGTTCAAACGAGGACTCGGTCACGACAAGGTCTAGAACGTAGACCAGTTTGCGAATATATAGCCGCCAGGCCGGAAATGTGCAGTGGAATTATACATGTTTGGTGCATTGTGGGACAAACCGTGGAACTCAAATCGTCAATCACTTGCGCCCTTTGTCCCACAATGCACTGCAACATATACATGTACCTAAGTAACAGACATAACTGTCAACATTCGATATGTCTGTGAAATGGTTTCAAAGTTCTATAAAATATAATCATAGAACGTTTAGTTATGGTAGTTGCTTTCAAGGAAAATGATTATAGTTTGACGCGTCTAGAAATGCTCACTTCTGTAGTTTAACATGTACTTTTACATCCGTGAGTTGGGCGATGACATTTATATCAAATGTTACCGTATAAAGTTCATTCATAGATATTCGTATTAACGGCCTAGCCATTACGTTGGAATAAAGAACTGAGTACTACAGAATACTATGAGTGTTGTGCACACATATTATATTTGGTGAAGTATTTCATAGAAAAATTCATACTATACAGTTTAGGCCTACTACTAGTAGTATTTTGTAGCTTTAGGTGAGGTTAGGGTTAACGAAACACAATCTGTATTTTGACTTGTCTCAAACTTGCCACTGGAACATTGTTACTTCAATACTTGTACGTCCTTTATTATATGATAATTTGAATCGTAACTCATTAGATTATTTTCAAGGGGAACAAAATGTGTAATTTTGACTTGTCTCTAGAATGACCACTTCGGCAGTGGTCTTTCCCCCAGGTTGATATCTGTCATGCGAAATCACCATCAGTGAACAATACTCAAGGTAGCTTATTGTGTAAACCGCCTGGGAGCTTGGGCATTTTATTGCGCACCACGCATGGGTGTGGCGTTTTAGACAACAGTGTCTGTGAAAGGATTGCCCGTGTGCCTTAATGACACATGCTTTCCATTAAAGTTAGTCAGACCAAAAACAGGATAAAACTTTACTGCTGTCAAATGACGGTACACACAGTAATCAGAGTGGGTGGTACGAAAACGTATGACAACAACATGTCTCATTTAGAAGTTAGGTACACAATTTGCAATACCGAATTATATACATCTGGAGCAGTGTTGGTTCGTGAAAATGTAAATCATGTCAACTTTACATTTTAAAGACGTCTAATGTTCCCATTTATTTTGCCTTTATTGCTTTTAAGTACGTCAAATCGTCCCACTGCAAAAGCAGTGCATATAATTATTGTGTACGCATATAAGTTTCAAAGATCCAATCGCTTTGAAAAACTTTTACAAATTATAAGTTGTGGATATAATTTCGATTTTTTTTTTTTGGCTAAACGTTAAACTTTGAAGGTACATTATACCATAATCCCGCTCAAGAGTTTATACATACGTTTTGTATGGACTTTTTTTCATGAGGAGGCTATTTCGATCGTGTTCCCTGAATCTATTTTACAAATTGTGAACTATTGATGGCGATGGTGCCAGACTATTTTATGATTAGACTGCGTTCAAAACCTCACTTTCAATTCGTTTTAAACGTTTGATCACAAGTTGTAAAAGCACTCATCAGAGCAGATCGATTGGTATTAAATTATAACGAACTTTTATTTCTTTGCTTTCATTTCTGCTCGCAAGTTCCAAAAATGACAGTTTACCTCGCTTTCAGATTAATATGGCCAACTCGTGAAGGAAGTGTATTACAACCGTTAGAGCAATATTGGGTGAATTTACAATGCCTCATTTCGTGCTAACGATAAATTGTTTTTTCCCAATAACATGTTTTCTAAATACTCTTAAATCATACTTTGTTAGAATTGCACAATATCATGCGAAAGACCCGCTTTAAAGGGTTAATGATATGAATTTTTCTTCGGACAATATTTTGTGCAACTTTCTACTCCTCTTAAGTGTATAAAATCTCTTTGACATCCTCGTTTGGTTGATTCAGTATTGGAAGCTGCACTTCTTTAAGCATTAAACAAATTTCATTTTAGGAAGACACTGTTCATTTTGGGGGTTTTCTGTTCAAAATGTGAGCCCCAAAATGTGCTCATTGAAAACATTTGTGAGACACGTTTTCGCTGGTTTGGCTTACTGCCATGTACTGACATAACAATGAATCACCACAGAAAGCAGAAAATTGACGACAGCAAATATCCACAATTCTGGCATCTTTTGCTGCCGAAATAGCTGTAACAGTGAGGTTTCTGCCTGAAATGACTTTTTTTTGCTGATGAATATGGAAATGCGCATTAGCTTAAAACCAAATAGGCACCAAAATATCCTTGAAAATGGCAAACCAAAAATTGAAAATAAGGTAAATATAGTATTGCATTAGTCTTAACTCCCTTTTTACTAGGAACTAGACCAAGTGCATCAAAATTCATCAATCACTGTGCGTCCAAGACAAAACTGTATACATGACATAATGGAATCCACCACTGACGCACTGGTTGACATAGGAATACCCCTAGCACTGC